TCTGAGTGGGTGGCAGTGGGTGGGTTTAGCCAAGGGAATCCAGTCCTCATGTGCTGCTTCATCAAAAAGGCAAGAAGTGGTCATCAGAACTGGGGATAATTAGAAAGGATTAAAGGCTCTTAGAAGGTGCTTTTAAAATATCGAGACTTAGAATATTGAACTTTTGATATGGTAAGATCAGAAAGGAACTTGGAATCATGGTCAGATGGAGCCACGTCCTTTTTATGAGGGCCCAGGGAAACAGCTGTGGAAGCCAGGACGGCTTTATTCTGCACCAATCTGTCTGGCTCTAAGGGCTTTAAGTGGTGGGGACCGAGGGGCTGTGTTCCCGCCAGTCTTTGAATATTTCCCCTTCCCCACCCTCGGCAGCATGTAAACACTCACCCATCTTTGTAAGTTCTTTGCCACATCGCAGCGCTCAGATCTCCATGGTATGCAGATGGGCTTTTGCATCGTTTGTATTGCATGATAGAGACGCTTCTTAGCGGGGCAGTGAAGAAAAACCTGCAGCACAAAAGTTACACCTAATTTTGAATCTCTGCTCCCGGCCTCGCCGGTGCAGTGCCATCACTTATGTTCTCCGGATGGCCTTTGCGGTGATGGAGTGTGGCTGCTGGGGGGACTGCTGTCTGCAGGAGAGATGAATGTGCATATACAATGTAAACACATTCCCATTGACACACCAAGATAAAAGGCTTAGCATGAACTGCGCCTGTTTACACTTACACAGAAAAGTCTACTGTAACAAACGCCGGAGTGTCAGTCGTGTTTATTATCATAACATTGTCCTTTTCTCCCTTCTCTGACTTTCTGGTGAGCTGCAGTCTACTGCGGAAGAGGGCAGGAAGGAGCCCTCATCAGAGCAACGGAGGAGGTTTTTTCAACCACACGGGAAGGGCTCGAGGTCCAGCAGCCCCTGGGGGACGAGCAAGGCAGCACCTCCACCCCAGTTTCTTCTGCTTTGCTGTGCTTTATGCATCCTTTCCGTGGGTCACTTGGGGGATTTTCTGGTGGAGTAAAGTCAGATTAAAGACCCACATGGGCAGGTTTTACCTGCATTACACTGCACAGGTGGTGGGTGGGGAGGGCAGACACAGGTGAGAGGGGAAAGGACTGTGTCACAGGGCAGTGGTTCCTCAGGGTGGGTCCAGACCAGCAGGATAGGCAAGACCAGGGCACTTATTAGAAATGCAAACTTTCCCCTCCCCCAAGCTCTGTGTTTTAATAGGCCTCTGAGTGTTCCTTAATGGGCCAGGGGTTTTGAAGATTGTCCACAGTGAAGTTGACCTCCCAAGCACTAAGTTCGGTCCACTTTCTGGTGTCTGTCCTGCCTTTGCTCTCGTTCAGCTCTCAGCCACCCAGGCTGTACCCCTGGGGTTCCCTGACACTGCCAGTCACCTCCAGATGTGTGCTCCTCCCTCTGTTGCATAAAGACAAAATGCAATAGAAAAGAATTTTAATAGAGTTAGTGTGCAACAGCAAAACACCCCAAATTACCCATCCCCTCATGAGCAAATGCCTGACCAAACAGGGTTGGCTCAAAGTAGGGCCACTGAGGCCTGAAATCCTGCCCCAAGTCTTAAGGCACCTTCTGGTGGGGAACCATGGGAAAGGTGCAGACAGGGCCAGGCAAGTCTGGAAGGAAAAGAACAAAATCAAAGAACAAGTTAAGGCTGCCATTGTCAGTGTCCCCATAGGCCTTTCACCCACATCTCTTCCAGTGTCCCCCAAGTCCATGGTGCGAGTACAAGGCTAAGAAGCAGTGCAGCTTCTTCTCCACATGTCTCTGCCCCACACGTCTCCTCCAAGTATCCTCTTCCCAAGTCCTTTTTAACTCCCACTTGCTCAGCTCCACCCTTCATTAGGTGGGGCAGGGAATATGGAACCTCCTCTTTCTGGATTACACTGTTACAGAGTGAGAATTAGAAGGTGGGGAGCGAACATGTCCCCTTGAGAGTACCCCAGGATTTATGCTGTGTGATCGCCATTTTCCTGTTTCTGAGACCTCAAGTTTGTGTTTAAAATTGAACATCTAAGAAGGCTGTCCCTGCATGTCTTATATAATTCTTTCAGATGCCTAGATGTGCAGCGTTCGGGGGGATTTCTCAGGCAAATGCTTTTCATACACATTTTCCTTAGGGATTTTTTCCTCATACGTCGTTTGTTGATGTCATCCACTGAAGTCCTTAGGACAGAAATTCCACCTTTTGATGTTTAAAAAAAAATACCTGTGAGTTTACTGAGAACAGTGCTCCTTTCAACTGAAAAGACTATTTGGTGTGTTATCTCTGAGGGAGTAAGACCTGCTGCCCCTGGAGGCCGGGTCTTCCTCCTCTGCTACTGCCTCCCTTCCTGGTGCCCCCCGCCACCCCCTTGCAGGGCCAACCCTCAATCTGATTTGGGTTCCTGGCCGCTGCCAGGCCCACTGGCCTGCCTTCCAGCTGTGTTCTTTCCTCCTGCTTCCCTCGCCTTCATTTCCACAAGCTTCCATGAGTCTTTAGGGGCCAGTCCGAGATCTTGCATTCCAAGGCCGTCCCTGAAGTCTCCTAGTGTTTCACATATCTGTTGCTTTGAAAAGGGAGAACCGATATTTTGCAACTTCCTTTTGGCCATCAGGGGTAGCCAGGGTGTGCCTCCCAACCTCCGTGCCTGGATTGTTTTACGGCACCAGTGAAGCGTGTTGCATTCCCTTTTCTGTTTGTGGCTTGGGCCTCTTGAACACTGGGCTATCGTTCGTGGCCCAAGTGGGTTTGCCTTTTTTAGCTCCTATCACAAAAACGCCCAGAGACACCCACAGTGTCACTCCCTGAACCCAACTAGCTGGGGGCCTGGTTTCGCCTGGCACTCTGTAGCTTGGGCTTGTCATGTTCTCAGAACTAAGAGGGTAGTTCCTTCCTACTCCTGTTCCTTTCTTCTGTAGAAGGGAGGACATGTCCAGTGAGGAGGTAGCTTCTGCCAGGGAGCACTGCCAGTTCTGACTCAGTTGCTTGGCTCCTGTTAACTGAATGGTCTACACTGGCCACGGAGGGGAGCCAGGAGGCCGAGGGAAGCTGATTCTTCCCTAGCATAGGTGGTTTAAATCCACACAAAAAGTTAGCAAACCTCAGTTCTGAGTCTTTTTCTTAAATTTAATATATTTTATTTTATATAATTCTTACATCATTTTTCGTTTTTGCACAATGTATGCATTTTCGTTTTGGTTATATTTCCCCATACAATTCCCACCCCTCTTATTTTGACCCTAATCCCTCCTCTTTCCCCGACCCCACGTAGTGTGTCTCTGGTTTATAGTTGCTTGTTGATTTTGATTTTTACTTTATTATAATTAGTCTTTTTCCTGGTCCTTTTTTTAGGTTTTCTAGATTCCTGCTATGAGTGAGACCATCCGGTATTTTTCTTTTTCTTTCTGGCTTATTTCACTGAGCATGATCCCTTCCAGCTCCATCCAGGTTGCTGCAAATGGCATGAGTTTATCTTTTTTGATTGCTGAGTAATATTCCATGGTGTATATGTACCACATCTTCTTGATCCAGTCATCTATTTTTGGGCATTTGGGTTCTGAGTCTTAATGTTCTTTCACTTGGAACTGAAATGTTTGGCCTGGTGGCAGTGACGGCAAAGTCAGTGCAAGACGACGTGGTGATATGTGGATGCTGTGTGTGTGGTCCCGTGTAAGAGGATGTGGTGTGATCGGGTGTGGCATGTTGAATGCGACGATACACTGAATTCTTCAAAGACCATTTCTCATTTAAGAGCAAACTAACATACATAATTGATGATGATGTAGAAGGGGGAATCCGCCTTTTTCAGCTGGGCCTGGGAGGCTGCTGTACAGAAGATAAAGACCTCACATGATTATTGTTGGGGAGCAGAGCCACTGTCTGGATTCCTACTACTCTGGTGGCATGGGTCTGAAAGACACCTGTGTGCTCCTCTCCTGCTTAGGTTGACTGACCTGGAGAACTGGGCTCCAGGCGGGCACATCTGGTCTCATTCACTGAGGCAACTCTGTGCCCACACATTAGGCATGGGCAACCCAGCAGAAAACAGGTAACACGAGTCACATGGCCAGTGTCCTCACTTTCAGACTTGCAGAGTGCTGTGGAATAATGAAGCAGAGACACTAGGGGGTTTGGGGATAGTCATGCTCAGCTGTTAGGCATGGCTGGGAGGAGATGCCATTTGAGGGGAGATGTAGGACCATCCATTTACTTGGTAAAATGTTCATGTCTGGCAAAGAAAGAGTATTTGTGGACATTATACTGTTACTGTCTGATTTCCTTTACCTCAAATTATCCTGAGAGAAAGAATCCTTGGCACAAATAGGTTAACAGTGGTTATCTTTGGATGGTGAAATTGTTGATAATTTTTGCTCTCTTTGCTCTCTGCTTAGCCAGCCTTTCTGCATGAAGCGTGCTGTCCTAATAAAACTAGGAGTTGTGCGTCTCTTGTTCCTATAACTCACATGTTCATCTTGTCCCGGGAAGGCTGTTACACCTGCAGTCATGCAGTGCTGGAGAGGATGAGAGGCCGCTGGCACAGGCCAGGGGATCTTGCTTCCTGTGTCCCTCCCTCCTAGGGCAGGTGACTGTCCTACAGTGTAGACTTTACTGCGTGGTGTCCTGCAGGCTGGACGTAGCAGTCAGCACTGATACTTGACCACTGAGCCGTTTGCTCAGGCATTGGCGACTGGCATTGTGCAGAAGGGAAGGGGATTGTGGAACCTGTCAGGCCACCCCAAGTGCACTGCAGTGGCCCTTACTACTCCAGGCTGTGGTTTGCTTGATCGGGGATGGCACCTGGCCTGGAGCAGGTGACAGCCAACTGGTTAGTGACCCAGAAGGTCAACCTGAGTCTCGGTGAAGAATAGAGCCTGATTTCCTCAGTCAGTCCTATAGGTTTCCCGAAAACTGACCAAACAGTGGGGTGGAAAATAGGGTTAAGAATGATTTCCTTGTAACTCAGACATGTCCCGCTCTTGCTCTCTTGTTTCCCTTCAGTCTGCGGTCCAGGCATCGACATCCGGAACGACTACCAGCAGCTGAAGCGCCTGGAGAACTGCACGGTGATCGAGGGCTACCTGCACATCCTGCTCATCTCCAAGGCGGAGGACTACCGCAGCTACCGCTTCCCCAAGCTCACCGTCATCACCGAGTACTTGCTGCTCTTCCGCGTGGCTGGCCTCGAGAGCCTGGGCGACCTCTTCCCCAACCTCACGGTCATCCGCGGCTGGAAGCTCTTCTACAACTACGCCCTGGTCATCTTCGAGATGACCAATCTCAAGGATATTGGGCTTTACAACCTGAGGAACATAACTCGGGGGGCCATCAGGATTGAGAAAAATGCTGACCTCTGTTACCTCTCCACGGTGGACTGGTCCCTGATCCTGGACGCAGTTTCCAACAACTACATCGTGGGGAACAAGCCCCAGAAGGAATGTGGGGACCTGTGCCCGGGGACGATGGAGGAGAAGCCGATGTGTGAGAAGACCACCATCAACAACGAGTACAACTACCGCTGCTGGACCACAAACCGCTGCCAGAAAAGTAAGAACGCCGCTGACCGCCATGGGCCTCTGCTTCTGTCCTTTCTCCTCCTCTGCCTTGCCCTCCCTCCCCCTCCTTGAATGGACAGGCGAGGCGGGCGGGGTCCGGTCATATTGCATTTAGGACAAGGTGCACCTGCTGTGTAGAAGTGGGGGTCTTGGCTGGATTTCTTTTGTGTCGGGGAATTTGGGGGGTGCTGCTGTCAAGACCATTCAGCTCACACATACTAGAAATGATCCACCCCGCTTCCAGGCCAAAAGCTTGCTGACCCTCAGCTTTGATTTCCTGATGAGGGGTGACCTGGTGTGCTTGCCTTAGTGGCCGGGGCCTGCGGATGTATCCGCTCTTCATCCTTTGTGTGCAAAGATATTTTTTGGTACAGCAGGACTTCTTAGCCTGAATGCACTTGGAAGGTAGTTTGAATAAAGGAAAAGTAGAAAGCTAATTTGTACCCCTTGACAGTGGCAACCTCTACTCTGCCCTCATCCTTGGGATGATGTTTAGCTAGGTGCCCTAGGTCCCAAGGGGGAGAGTGCTAGACAAGTTGCCAGGGGTCCCAGGGTCAGGCTGTCCTTGCAGGTAGCGTGGAGCAGGGTGCCTTTGTACACCTGGATTCCGCCTCCTTCCTGTCATACCTTTAAACCAACAGGTTGGATATAGCTCATGAAATCATTTATTGACAGAGCTCTGAAATGTATTTGGTGCTCTTGGGGCATCTGGTGATGCTCTTTTGAAGCTTCTCATTTATTTACCTGCACTATGCTTAATTTGCCCCCGCTTATAACTGAATTCTTGCTGTATTGTGATCAGTGCCTTCGGAACCACGTGCTTGGTATGAAATTGTGACTTTGGGCCCTTGCATTTCTACTTTCAGCAATGTGTAGGGAGGTGTATTGTCCTGGAAGCTCCCCCGCACTGGCTACAAGTCAGCGTGGAGGCTCTCAATAGCTATGAGTTAATGGTTGGCCCCACTAAAGACCCAAGGAGCCCCATACTAACCAGTCATGAAGAGCCATGATACCTCAAACTGGTAGACCTGCCCCAGCCGTGAAGTGTATGAAAGAAGTGAATCAAAGCCCAGACCCCATAGGTAGCTGCAGTTTATTTCCCTTCTACCAGGTGGAGGCAGGAAAAAGGACCCATCCTTCTAGGCTCTGAGACAGCCCATGGGAAAGGCTAGGTGCTTCTAAGCTCTGTATCCTTACACTGGGCAGTTGATTAGTGAGGAGAGGGGTCCCCCCTAGGCTGCAGCCAGTAACCCCAAGGAGCTGAGAGCACCGGCAGGCCACCTGAAGATCCCTGTGGGCTTGGGTTGGAGGGAGGTACAGTGCTACAGTCACACGTGTGAGTGATTAAAACTGTCATGGTTTGAGAAAACAGCGACATGCATTTGTAGGTAGTTTTGACATTTGAACATTTTATTTCAAAGGAGAAAGGCGTCCTCAATGTCGAGGCATCCTGGTGAAGTGGGAAGACAGTGGGTGAGGGATCAGAGGTCAAGGTGACCTTGGGCCAGCCCGCCCTGCTGGGCTTCTTGGGATTCTGTAGCATGCTCCTCAGGGCAGGCTCGTTTTATTCTCCAGTGGTGAGCAAACGCGTGTGCAAAGGTGTTTTGAAAACCTATTAGCGCTGTGTAAAGGAGGGGTTGGTTGAAAAGCCAGAGATGGGCAGGTTGGGCAGCTGCTCAGTAGATGCTTACTTTGGTCTCCCTGGAATCTTGGCCGTTTCTGACCAGCTCTTGTTGGAGAAGCCCAGGGCTGGGAGGAGGCCTGAGTTCTGGGTCCAAGTCCAGTAGCCGTGACTGGAAGGATGCGAGTAATTAAAATCGCCAGGCCCTCTTCATCTGCAAAACAGGATAGACCGTGCCTTCCTCACAGGACTGTTGGAAGATTAAGGGAGAAAGTGAATCAGCACCGTGTAAAGGGAGTGGCAGGTGTAAGCTGGGCCTTAGCTGGACCTGCTTCCCCAGGGCTGCACCCACAGCCTTCTCTTCAGCCACATGTGTCAGCCCTGCTGTGTGTGTGTGTGAGTGTGTGAGCATGAGTGTGTGTATGAGTGTGAGTGTGTGTGTGAGAGAGAGACAGACACACAGAGAGAGATTTCACGATAGAGTATCCATTTAAAGTTAGTAACAGCATTCAGGGAAATTGCTTCCTTCACCTTGTCCTGAAAACTCACGCACAGGTAGGTTTCTTGGAGATTTTCCCATTGATCTGGAACTCTTTCCCCTTGTTGCGGTTCCTGTGGGGACTGCCCCAGCCAGGGTGGTAGCCACTAGCCATGCGTGCCTGGTGGAGTCCTTGAGCTGTGGCCTGTCTGAACTGAGACCGGGTCTAGTGTAAACTGCACACTGGATTTTGAAGATATAGCATTTGGGGGCTGGGGGCATGAGCTAGTGCTTTAATATTTTTTATATTGATTACCTGTTGGCGTGACAATGTTTTTGGAACTATTCAATTAAGTAAAATGTAGCATTAAAATTAATTCCACCTGTTTCTTTTTCATTTCGTAAACCTGAAATGACAGACGTGACTTGTAGTCAGTATCTCTTGGGGATGCTGCCTTAGAGCATCCTTCCCAGGCGTGGTTTCTTGCTTTATCATCTCTCTGGCTGAGTACCAGGGTGCCAGCATGTTGCTGTATCTTTCTCGCCTGAACTCTTAGGCATCATCCCAGGTGCCAGGTGAAGGGCGTGGAGTCCAGACAGGGTGTCTGCCTCAAGGTCACTCCTAGATGGCCCTTTGCAAAGAGTAAGCCTAGAAGAATCCCACTCAGATATTTCTCACCCAGCTGGCTACAGAAGTGGGAAGAACATCTGGAGAGATACCTCAAGTCATGGTGTGTGTGAAATTTTTGACATAATGGAGAAACACTCAATTACCCGGTGCTGACACGCCGCCTTCACTCCTTGCTCTCCGCCTGGCAGGCAGCTTCGAGACAGCCTCGTGCAGGAAATTACTATTCCAGGGTTCTCCGCACACTTTCGTATTTCTCTGTTCGCTCGTGATTTGAGAGGTGGTTTTATGCAGGCTTGAGCTATTCCTAAAACAGTTGGTTGACTCTTGAAAAATGGTGCACAGCTTTTTCCTTTCAGTAAAAATATTCCTGTTTGGCGTCCTGATGTTTCTCGAGCTTGCACACTCCTTGCTTGCCTCGGACATCCCTTCTGATTCTCCTGTCACTACAGATGTTTCCTTTCGGGCTCCTTCCCCTGGGGTCTCGCCTTTAAGAGCTTCCTTCACTGTCCTTGTTTCCCTAGAACCTCTCACCCACAGCTGCTCCGTGGGCTTTTCTGTGTCTCTGGTTTCTGCACACTGTCTCCAGCCCCGTGATGTTTGTGGGCTGAGATCCCTGTACCTCTCTCATCCAGACGACCCTGGGCATTTCCGTGCTGATGACCTGCCCTGTCTCCACTCCCCGCCCCTTGCTCCCCACGTCTTCCCTCTCTGCATGGACAGCTTTCTTGTGTCCCTGCCCCCCGTTTGGCTTCTGGGGGTCATTTGCATATGTGTTGTCTCATCTGCCCTCCTGTTCTCCCCTTTGCCTGGCCAGTGACATGCCTCCCTGCAGCCACCCCCTTCTCCACCTCTGCTGCCTGAAATCCTTGCTCCCCAGAGCACTGTCCCCCAAACTGTCTCCAGCTCTTTGCTGGCAGAGAGGATGAGCCTGGGATGTCAGAGAGGACCAAGGCCGAGGATGGTGGAGAAGAACAGAAATCCTCTTCAAGATCGCAATGAGGCCTGGCGCTGGCCATTGCGTTGTGGGCAGCAGGAACTGGGGAAATCCTCTCTGAGTACCTGTCGTGCCCCTGCCACCCATGAACTTGTCTAAATTTTACCTGGTCTTATTTTCCTAAGGACTTTCTGGTACTTGATTTCAAGTATAATAATAAAAAAAAAAATCCCGAGCTTTACTGCTGAACATAGTCTCCAAGTATCTTCTAGTCCGTCATGATGAACAGTCTGGTGTCGATGTTTATCCCAGTTGCCCATGAGAGGCCTGGTCTCTGCCAGGAGCTGCAGGAGGGCGGCAGCCTGGCTGTGCTGGGAGCTGATGTTGCTGGGGGTGCAGCCTTATTTCACTACAGGGGCACAGGCTGGGGTCAGCAGTCCCGGAGCGGGTGGCTTCGCCTGCCTTCAAAAGGAACAGACAGGAAAATGGCAGATGGGTGCCCTTGAGTGACAGAAGGGAAACCTCTTGCTGCCACCTCACTGATGGGACCAAGGCAGGTGGTAAAAAAAAAGACAAACTCCCCTAGTTTCCCCCCACCGCCATGGCTTGTGTTCTTGTTCTCAAATACCCTGACAAGCACAGCATTGGTGTGGGGAGTGGAAATATACCCCAGCCTTCATTTCTTATGGGCTCCTTCCTCATTTTCTTCCAGATTGTTCCTTCTGGTCTGCCAGATAAAAGTGGGGGGATTTGTTTCAGCATGTGTACCTCCCCTTATGGATTGAGATGAGGTGGGGCGCACATTTTCTCTACCCTGAGACCCCACCCATGTAATGTGCAGTTTTCTTTTCCCATCTTTTTTTTTTTTTAAGATTAATTTTTATTTATGCATATAAGAGCTGGGGTATAGACCGGAGGTGTGGGGTAGGGGGTGTGAGAGGATTCACCAGAGATAGAGTGGGGAGCAGAACAGGTGGATCTACTGAAATACACTGCTGAGGGGAGCAGTGGGTGAGACAGGAGAGGTCTGCTGCACCATGTGGGTAGCTCCCTGGCCGGGGATGGAACTTGTGCTGCAGTGGCTGCGGATAGCTTCATAGTGCTTGCACCACCAGGGAGGCCCCATTTTTTTCATCTTAACGTTTTTCCTTCTTTGTTTAAATTTTAAGCTACCCATGAGGAATAGTTCTCTCCGGAAAATGCTGTGTGTTCGCTGTCAGGGTCTCATATGCCACTGCACACTGTGAGGGTGGATCATGTGGACACCTGTGTTTCAAGTGGGGCAGAGACAGGCCTGTGGATCCTGGAGGTGAAGACAGTCAGTAGAG